GACAGCTCAGTAGGAAATGTTCTTCTCCTGCGGCTTCCAAGAAGAGCACAACTCATTCACTGCACTCATTGACAGCCCACAGCTCCTACAGAGAGCGTCTCGTGCAAGCAGATGTTAGTGGTGTTGGCATTTTGAGGAAGGAAATGACCTTGCCTATGAAGGGGCAAGGTCACAGACAAACCAGCAGCTGTCTTTTTAGACAGGAAATGCTGAACACTTAGCTGATGTTACTTTCTTTCTTCTCGATTTTTGTGTGAAAGGAAACAAGCCACACAAGCCTAGGGGAATGTCGTGGCTGGCAACCCTCTGTGAAATTCAGTGAAATCATAAAGATGCGGGGCCTGATCTTGAATGTAACTGCTGTACAGAACTGTGAGGGGGAAGAAAAAAAAAAGTTTTGCAAGGCAGAGCTGTTGATCCACCTCCAGCTTGGAAGCCAGCAGATACTTGTACCTGCTAGTGGATGCCAGCCAGCACAAAGTGCCCACGATTTCCAACATAAGCTTACTTCCTTTCCTCGTTGTACTCGCCCCATCCTGTTTCTTTGTGCTTTGAAGAGAGCAAATGCAATCACAAGGCTTTTCCTAATATCTCTGTGGAATTGATAGTCAAATCAGCTTTAGGATTTAAGGATTTTTAGGATTGCTGTTTGTACAGGCTCTGCTCAGAAGTATTTTGTTGTCAAAACACAAAACACATACAAGGCTCTGTTTGCCCTTGCTCTTGAAGCCATTCCTGTTCTTTCCAGCTTTCCCGTAGAGACATTAAAGCTAATATGAGTTTATCTGTTGTGGTAAACAAAAAAGAAAGAGACTTCATTCAAAAACTCCAGAAATTGGAGTTTCAAAGAAAAAAATTTCACAATAAGACTGAGAGAGCTGCCTGCTGTGTAATAGCCTTGCAGTATCTTGTGAGTTGTCTCGTAAAGACTTGCAAAAGAAAAGAGATGGTTTAGTAACACCCAGATTACTCAAAGCCAGCCTTTCAAAACAAAACAGGAAGCTTTTGCTTTGCACTGGCTGCCTGACTGCAATGAAAACATTTGCAAAGGGCTGTTGCACGCAACACAAGTCATTGGAGACCCTCTCTTAAAAAGAAGTATCAATGATCCCAAATATTTCTACAGTTTCTTTACGATCTTTTTGCACTATATCTTATTTTCATCATTTGGAACAGATTTAGTTTCAAGGAATCTTATGGATTATAGGCAAGTCTGCTAAATCATTACATTAACACTTCCTCATCCCTAGGCATATCACTTTATAAACTTGAAACCTCACAGTATTCTCAGAGCAAGCATTACCTCTGTTTTAGAGTAAGAGAGAAGTAAGCCATATTGCTCAAGCCAGGCCAGGAAGTCAATGTCTGAGCCACCATCAGTATTCTGGATTTCACTGAGTCCCCCACAGCCTCAGGCAGGGATGATCTTGGTGAACAGTGGTCCATTGGGACATTCTTGGAGGGCAGCATTTCAAGGTTGAGCTGGAAACTGCTAAGAAGTCAGTTTTCTATGAAATTTGAAAAAGACTTCCAGGCTACCTAGAAAGTGAAATTGCCCTCTCATTAACATCAGCTGTTTCAGAAAGGCAGCATCAGTCTGGTGCTAATGTATATCACAAGTTCAGTCACCTTAATAATGTGCAATGAACTCAGTTTGGTCAGCTTTAACATTTAAGAATGTATTCTATTTGCAGGCTGTGCCTAGAAGGGTTTTGCTGCCAAAAGCTAGAAAATACCATACAGACTAAAATTTCAGACATTGTGTTAATTTGTCCAGAGCACACTGTTGGATACACATTGCGTTATTCCTCTTTTAGAAGTAGCATACACGTCATTCCGCCTGAAAAGCAAAGCAGAACCACAAAGAGCTGAAAGTGATCATGTAAGAAGGTCAAGACGTCAGAATCAGACACAGTTGTGATTGAAGAATGAAGTTAAAATAGACAGCTGTCCCACCTTGAACTCGTCTTGAAAGATGAGAGAGATGAGTAGACTCCTCTAGATCTCATTCAAACACAGTGTTTCCTTTTTCTAATTCCAATATCCTGATCGACATCCAAAACTGTACACTCAGCAATCATCACTATTGCAAAGTGTCTCAAGGTAGTAAGATGCTTTGCATTAAGGCACCTTGATAATTCTCTGGCTACCAGCATACTAGCATAGTATTCAGTTTAGATTACTTTCCTCTTGATAGTCTTTCACTGCATTGTAGCATAGTGGTAGAAAGGACTGTCTCACACTTCTTGGTATTTCAACTCTTTATTCTTTTTACTGTAAATTTCCATGTGGCCAGTCTGGGGCCCAGGACATGGGGTTTTTAAAAATATCATGCATGCTCACAGAAAAAGCTGCATATTCTTTTGAAGGGAGTAATGAATTCCTGTGTTTACAGGACAGTTGCAGTCAGAAAGTTCTTTTTTGTGTGCGTGTATTGTATTGTCTTGTAATTTTTTGCAGTAATAGCACCTTAATTACCCTGCTCTGTATGATGCAGACTTTTTGGCTTAGCAACTGTTTGTTCTTTTTCTAGCCACGATTTAGAAACCCAGAACAGGTACCCCGGAGAGACAAAGATTCCTGACCTTAACTGTAGGTGGCATTCTTCATCTGTTCATCTGAGTTATTACTTCGGAAACAAGGACAAATGAATAATTTTTGTGTACCCTTGATTAATGTTATCAGCCCTCTTCTAAGTTTAATTAAATTGTACTTTCAGTTGGAAGGAATTTAGTTTCATAAAATCTGAAGTTGCATAACTGTGTTACCTGGAAAGATTAAAACAATACTCTGCTGTTCTTGCCCTAAAAGCTGAGGAAATGACATGCATTTGAATGATTTGGAGTGTTTCCAGATAAATTCTTCTGTAATGTGCTATGAGGAAGAAAAAGATTTAGTGCTTAAAGATTTAGACATGGTCTAGAGATGATTTTCAATTGCCTTGAAGCAACAGTGAGTAAATACAGTTACATTAAAAAAAAAATATATATATATATATCAGCACTATTTTTAGCAAAATCTCAAACAATTTATTTTATTGGGAGTGTTTAGACATATCTAGAATTTTTCATGTATCCTTGGTTACTTGAGACAGCTCTGCAGCCTTCCAGCAGCTTTAGAATTGTCAGAAGATGAAGACCAAATTTTCTGCTTTCTTGAATGTAGCAAAAAATTCAGTGAGCTTGAAAAAGAGGAGTCACGCAAAGGTAGAGCCAGACTAAACTACAAGCAAGCAAGTTATCTTTGAGTATCTCATGCAGCTCTGAGTACATTTTGCTCTCTAAGCTTTTCCAACCCTGATCCTTTTGCTAATGTAGTACCATCAGTGCTATTAGATTGTGTGCATCGTTCATGATGTAGGCAAGCCATCCACAGAGGAGTAGACTAAGGGCATGGATTCATTTCTATTTGTGATATGGGAGAGTAGAAAACTTCTAATCTTGCAAATAAATCTTCCAAATGGAAATGCAATTCAATTAAATTATTCATTTCCCTTCCCAGCTTAATCAAAGATTAAACTACAAGAAATACGTACTTGTGCCAGATAACTAAAAACAGATGGCTAAGATTCATTTTCTTCATCGGGGAAATTGGTAGGTCAAAGACATTGAGTACCTCAACATTAGGCTTCTTTTTTTTTTTAATAATAAAAATAATGAAAGGTCTTAGTATATGAGTAGCTCATTTTCTTTTAATATTTTTATTTTTGTCATGACAGTGAGGTGCAGTGAGAACTGTTAAATGAGCTGTGTATCCACATAGCTGAGAGGGTTATGGGAGACATTTCACAGGGATTTATACATTTTTCTACTTTTCCTGTGAAAGATGTATTATCAAAATATTAACTTCAGCCTTCTACATGAATTGAGTTGAAAATCTTTAAGTCTTTTTCAAGGGGAAATACCTAGATAAAGTTTAAAGTAAATATCTTGGAAAATTACATTTTTCAGGAGACACTTTGGGGCTCAGTGCAAACAAAATGAAGTCCTGAATTTGGTGAGTTTGGTCTAGGTTTTCTGAGGATGGAAGACTAGTGCAGTTGTTCTCCCCTCCATCCCCGTTTCCCATTATTACTGCTTGGTGCAACATTCATTATCTGTTAAGTGGCAGAGATGATGTAACAAGTCTTATCTCCCCCACCCACAGTGTTGCCAGCTTCAGCCTTTGATAAGAAGAGCAGAAGTATAGATCAGTTCCCATAAGGAAAGCTGTGAAAGAGATGAAAATCCTGTATATTGCTGGATAATAGTACCTTAGATACTCTTCCTTGATATTGTCAATGAAAAAATACTAGAATGCTTGCTTTTGATTTGTCGTTGTTAGAATGGTATATTAGAATGCAGGAAAATTGTATCAATTTATTTTTTCTCTGTTTTTTGTTTGCTTTGTTTTGTTTCCACCTGCTAAGTAAAACTTAAATACCAAAGCTTAAAGGATTTGTATCTCAGGCCAAACTCGCTATGAATGTTGAAAAAGGAACTGCGTAAAGGGCAAGCCTACTCCATAAGGAAAATACATCGTAAATGAAATGTACAAGTAAATAGTGTTGAAGGCTGTCCTGGATTTGCTGCTGACTACATCATAATATTTCAGAGATTTCACTAATATCAACAGTATTTGTGTTATTTCACCAGAACAGGTGGATAGAAAATACATTCTTAGACCTGGTTCAGTGTACTTGTGACTGTATTACACTGCAAAGTCCTGACCAGGTGAAACTCCAAACAAGACCCCTAAAAAGCCTTGAGACCAACTTGGCTTAAGCTTATGAATGATTTATATCTCAGTCTTGCTTGTCTGAGTTTTGAAAAAGACCAACTGTATGGGAACTGCTGAGTCACGGCCTGAACCTCTGATTGATCACCTGAGGTGAGCCATGAGTCAGCCAGAGGAGCACATGAAGGCAATTCTCCTGTGCTGCCGGAAGGGGTGGAGCCAGGCTCCAGCCCTCCTAGACCTATTTAAGAGCTGGCTACCAGGGGGGAAGGATCTCATCTGGAGGTTGCCTCTCTTGGTGTTTTGTGGTGAGCCTAGCCTAAGGGTAAGCCTTCCATTTTATTCTCTTTTGTTATCATTGTCCACTTTTTTAATATTGTGATTGTAACATCTTGATATCCATTGATCATACACCAACACATGAAATTCTTGAGTTTTTTTTTTTTTTTTTTTTTTTACTTTCAAATTGGACCAGTGTTAGTGAGGTCTTTAGTTGCACAGGTGATAGAGAAAAGCAGCTGCATTCTGCATGAGGGAACACACCAATGTTACATAAAATGTTGTCTAGTATATTTTACAGCTGCCTTCATGTTCTCACATCTGGAAAATATGCTTCATGTTGACAGTTTAACTAGAATACCATGAGCTGAAGCATGCAACAGATTTCTAGGTTTCGTATTCAGCAGAGAGAAAAAAAATAAAACAGCTTTGTTTTTTATAAACATTAGTCATTATGGTATTAACTTAATCCTACAACTCAAGCTGTGTCAGATGTATGTGTATTTACACAGACTTCTGTAATCAAGCAGTGGGTAAATAATTCCCCTGCTACCTTACCAGCACACAGCGTGCTGCTGTGTAGGCACTGCAAATTCAAAATACACATTCATAAACATACATTTTATAGTGCAATATTTTTTCTCTTTACTGAAAATACACCTGATGTGGTGCTCCAGATGAAGTCACGTACACTACAACTCTGCAACAAAACTGAGGCTAGCAGCATTACAGTTATGTTGGCTGCCTGGGTACATAAGCAACAGTATCTTTAATTTGTTCGTAACTTTGCCAGTTATTTTGATAGTTTAAAATTACCACATGTCTTTTCCCAAAAACTATTGCAATCTGTCACATAAACATGAATGAGATGCAAAATCCAGCTTTACTGGGTATAGATAGATCTCTCCTTGGTCATATCCCTTGAAGTTACTGTGGCAGATAACCTAAGGGGTAGATGACTGGTTATAAAACTGCTCCATTCTGCTCACAGTGAAATGGACACAAGACAGTCTTGAATTCCCTGTAGCAGCACAGGGATTGAACTAACACAAGAAGGCAGCTGCACTTCATGTTTTGTGCCATGGGAGGGTGGCATCTGATTCTCGTGGGTTATTGTAAGAATTAGTTTTATAAATCCCTTTTCTCAGGTTTAATTAATAAAGGGATTTGGGTAAAGCAGAGAAAATTATATAATCTGGAGAGAAATGGTCAGAGAAAAAAAGCTTCATCACATTGTGGATTTAATAATGAGAAGCTTTAGAGACCTACCAGGACCACATCTTTGAAAATCATGCAGTGATTTTCCCAAATGAAATTCATTCAGTGTTTTAGAAGAGGGCCTTGGAAAATGAAGTCCATGATGTTTCTTGTAACATGTGGACAGTGCGTAGGCATATATTCCCATATTCATGTAAACAGATTGCATGTTTTCCCACTCCTCTAGAAACTGAGCTAATGCAGAATGACTGATCCATTTTTTTTGGACTGTCAAAATGCTCACTGTAAATTCAATGCACCACTTAGCTTAATTACGTTGCAGCAGAGGATACAGTCCAAGGAGCACAGTTTCTTTTCCCTTGATTAATGAAGTCTTGGAAATCATGCTCAAGAGCATTCCAAGTTCCCCTAAGGTGAGCAAAAAATGCAATACTTAGGAATTAGAAGTGGTTCACACTGAGACATTAGGCTGTAATTCAGCTCACCCTACATTGCTCACTAATTTACTTTAAAAAATTACAAACAGCTTCTGCCCTTCCTCTCCTTCTCAACAATGTTTTGTTTTTCTTCCTTCAGGAGGGACAGTTTAGTTATTAGGGATCCCCACTCAGTCTTCGTGCTAATTACGTAGTTTGGCAGATTTGTTGGAGGGAACATACATTTCATTCTTCTTTTATGTTTCTGATTCGTAGGAAATACTGTGCACATCCCTGGCAGAAGTTAGGGCCACAACCCAAACATTTTTGCCTTGTATGTGTAACTGTTCAGTTGAGAACTGGCGGTGAGTGCGATTTTGCTATAAAACATAAGGAAAAATCAGCTTTTGTAGGAGCTGCAAGGCTAATTTTGTAGGAACTGTATGCAGAGCGAGCAAACATTTGTTGTTTTCTCCTTCTCAGTAATTTACTTCTAATGTAAACTGAAGTGCTTGTATCAGTACTTAATCAAATAATTCCCCTCACACACCATTGCAAATAAACTTTGCGCAGGGAACAGAGGGTGTGCCAATCAATATTTTCTGTCATAAGACTGCAATAGCAGCAGTACCTAGCAATAAGTAATAACAAAGAGAAATAACATATTTGTGAAGAGAGAGTATCAAATCAATGAGCGTCACTTGGGACCAGCCCAACTGAAGTAAGACAAAAAGCGTGGGGCAAGGAATGGTACACAGGACTCACAGGGACACAATGATGCACCTGATAGCATTAACTGAAAGGTGAAAGACCACTCAGCAAATTTGAAATGTTACTTCTGTCACATGGTTCAGTGGTGGACAGAATATTTATAGAATTCAGTTTTGGGGTTTTAAGCCATTTTACAGAAAGTATGTTAACAAGGTTCAGCAATGTCTAATGTAAATAGGTTGCTCTGAAAGTAATACCTCCTAGTTTTTTTCTATGGAGACTACAACAAAGAGCACAATTATGATATTTAATGGAGGAAATTGTCAGCTGCAAAACACTACTTGTCAACACAGTCACTACCACTAGCCATGCATTTTCATCAGTGATGAAGAAAAGCCTGCAGACCTCACTTGTATCAACCTGCAACCACAGGTGTAACCCACTGTTGATATCACCACTGCTGAATGCACTATCCACCACCTCACTGTGCTTGTAGCCACTCTGAGGTCTCCATAAATGTTCAGCAAGTATGGATGAATGTCAGTGGGTGCCATTTTTTCCACATGGAGGAATTCAGTGACACACCATTGCTCTATACGCACTTCCATGTCGGATGCCTTTTTGTCAGACTGTTCCTCTGCTGTCATATGTCACGGCAACAAAATGGAACAGATTATTGGTGGGAAGGTTCAGGTTCTACTGCCATACCACCAACATCCACATCTGATGTTGTGGGCCAACATCATAACATGGGAGGCATTACTTTTGGAGCTGTCCTCATGTTAGTTGTATATGAAATGTTATGAAAAACATACTAAAATCTGAAGAGCTTTCAACAAATGCTTTCAAATAATTTCTTCAAACCATGGCATACTGAAAGCACTTTTTTTCTCCCTTGAGCAAGAAAAAAGGTCTTTGAAAAGCTTATAGAATGTGCAGCACTGAATGTGTGTCTTGTCTAATGAAACCCCAAGGGATACAGAATGGAGCTCATATCACAGGAGAAATTCTAAGGCCCAGAAACCTATTATTTTGTTATAATTAGTATGGAAATCCTAGCATTCATCACAGTATATTAATTAGTAACATTTCTATTGTATCACCACTGGAATGCCTTAATATCCATTAGGCAACTCGTAAAGGCTTTATTTTTACAGGATGGAAGATGCTCATCTCAGGAGCCAGTCTGAAGATGTTGGGGTAATATTGCTGCCTGGAAAGGAAGGTGCTTGGAATGCTAGAAAAAATGAAGATGTCAGCTTTATATTCATCAACACAACAGCTTATCTGACGTTGTAAAATCATGCATTTCACATATTCTGAATGGAGAAAGGGCTGACGTGTCGGTTACTCTCTGTTCATCACTACAATAACAAATTCTAAAATGGGGGAAGCGTTTCCAGATCTCTTGTTAGGAATTTGAAATACCTGCTGATAACAACTGCTGTTTCTTTTTCCTGTTCCTTCAGTAATTATCACTCAGACTGAAAAGAAATGATAGCTGTGGTTTTGTCATTAGAATAAAAAACAGCTGTAACTGAGAAATAGTATAGAAAACAAATGTTAAATACATCATTTTCAAAATTCAGTGGCTCACTCATCTTTCTGTTGTTAATCTAATGAAGCTTGCAGTTATCTAATTATTTCAAATGGAATAAAAAATAAAATAATATAAAGGCAGATAATCTTTATGTGAACAATTATATAGACAACACTACAAGTTTTGACAAGAGCACATTATAATGCCTAAGGTCAGGAAAGCAAATTGAAATGCACAGAAGTAAATGAAGCTTTAACAAAAGTATGCAGTGGAAAAAAATTATATGAAAGGAAAGTTCAGGAAAAGAAAAATAAATTAAGGGGAAATTGCTTAAAGAAAATGGGAAAGAAAAAAATAAATAAGGAGAAAGCTGTTTAAAAATGTTGGATTGTAAAATACCATATTCCGCCTTCACTGGAAATCAATCTAATGGCTGCTTTTTTATAGGTGGAAGGGTAAACGCTCTGACTGAAACACTCTGGATTCCAAACAGCATTGCCAATGCAAATATCACCAGGAAACATAAGCCGTGCACAACACTTGCCCCATAGTTAATTCTGTTGTTCTGGCTTTTACAGGCAAAAACTGCTGTACATGTTGTTCAGTAACATCATACCTGAGCCATGCATATGGATAGGTTTCCTCGATAGCCTCAGTGCATGCAGGGCCTGCCTGGCCAGCAAGGGGCTTGCTCATCACAAGCCTCCTGAGCCTGAAGGGCTCTATTGTCATCATTCATTAAGCTCTTAAGGTAGGATACCTTTCAAATTCTGTATTTTACTCTTGACATACAGAAAACCTACGCTGCTTTGTGTGTTTGTGCCAGTGTTCCCCCACACCTAAGGATAGACTCATAGTTTCAATCTCAGCAACTTGTGCAGTATCGAACCTGAGCTAGTTGAATGACCTTTGCCCTTGTATCTCTATGCATGTGGTTAAAACAAACTGTTTGTGATCAAGTTGCCCTACTGCTTTCAACAGTTTACCACAAAACATCATCTGAGAACCTCTGAGAAATGTGAAGAATTTGTGCTGGCCTTCCTCAGGTCAATTAGAAGTGGCATGTTCACTAATATGGTTGACTCCATGAAAAACATGCCCACAGGGTCACAGCTCTACCAAACCTCCAGCATCTTTAGGAAGCGGACACATCACCACCTTCTGAAGGCCATCTGACTCGGTATTCTTCTGGTTGATACCTTCTGCCTCTTGCTGAGGGAGGAAGCAGCTACAGGCAGTTCTTAGAGCTGATAGACTCTGCCTGGTGTCCTCAGTGTATACCTGAGATTGCCTACACTTTTTCTTCCCTGGGATGGTTTAATTCATTACCAACATCAGTTTATGTGCCCTCCCCTTGTCAAATGAGTGAGATCACATCTTTACAGTCAAGGCAGTCCCAAGTAGAGATCACAAACCTGGCTGACTCTGGGATGTGCTCAGTCCCGGCAGCCTGCCTGGTGGTACTTGTGAACCATGTTGCTTCCTTAATGAAGACTGCTCCCATCCCTGGGAGCTGCCAGCATCACTGGGAGTGTTGAAAGATAAAGTAAAGAGAAGGCTGTTTTAGGTATAGAATTTCACTGAGCTTAGATAAAGGTTATTTTCCCTTTCACCTTGTCTAAAAAAATCCTCTTTTCTGAAGAATTGCTATGGCCTCTCCAAGCCCTTGAGATGCTCAGAATTATAATTATTTGGGGAGGAAAAGATGAAATATTATTGTGTCATGTTTCCACTGATTTAAAGAAAAGCTTACTTGAATATTCTTCCTTTGATGTATGAAAGAGAAGTAATATCATTTTCAAACTCTTTTCATGGATGAATGCAGTATATACTGAATTCATGTCAAGAAGAAATATTTCTCCTTTTTTTCTTTCTCCTCACCAATTCACTTCATCATGAAATGACAGCATTGACTCTTATTAAAATTCCTGAGTTCATGGCACACTTTTTAAAACTGAAAGTGTGTTTTAAAATAAATACATCTCAACTTGATCACTGTATTTTATGTATTTGAAAAGGCAACATGAGGATGTGTTTGCGAGCTATGACTGAGCTATGGATCTCACTAAAACACTTTTTTTAGTGGTCTTGAAATGGAAATTAGTCCAAACTTGGAAATTTTTATATAGAATGTCTGTTTACTTAGTAATTATGGCTAAATGTGATAGCATTTTAAGGTTCATATACTGCTTGGTATCTTTTTCCTGAACAAGAAATATCCAGCCATCTCTGCTATTGCATTGAGGGAGAAAATTTCTGCTGACATCAACAAATTCAAATATTGCTCAAATTCCCCCAATCTCCAAGTTTTGACCCCAAGAGGTTTATTTTCTATGTTATAAATAAGTCAAATAATTATGATGCTATGTGTATGAAGGCAGATATTACAATTTAAACAAAATACAAATATTTGTTATAAGCATAGTATATGTTGTAAGCATAAAAAGAAAGATAACATCACGAGCTTGAACTGATTACAGAAATCAAGTGCAGTTAATGTTTAAAATGTTATGCAAACATTGCATATTGGCTTCAATGTCTTTTAAAGTAGTAAACCTGGAGGGTGGGGTATAATTCAATTTACATTTGAGTAGACATCAGTGATTTTTATGGTGGAAAAGCCAAACAGAATTTTTTTCTCCTTTTTCCCTTGTCCTCTTTTGAGATTGAAAAACAGGCATGAAAGACATATTTAAAGCTATCCAGTGCTAATGTTTTGAACATACCAAACATCAGAGTGTCAGAATTAAAATACATGTATGCGTAAATAAATAGATGTTAAATATGAAAACAAAGAGCAAAATAGGACACTGAGCAGCCATCAAGCAGTTTTGTAAGGAACACCAAGATCCCTGATGTTTTTCATTTGTGTTAGAATATATGCGCAACATTTCTTGAATTTTGTTCCAGCTACTTGATTATTATTGCTTCCTTTTATTAGCTTTACAATGCCTTCATTAATAGGTAAGCATTCTACTTTTTGATCTTTTCTTTTGTCAAAACTAAGAAATGTAGACTACTGTAAAAACAAAATCCGTGAGTTTAAGGAAGACCTATTTGAATGTGAATTTAAGTCAGAAATTCAAGAGGCTTGGAGTAATGATCTGCAGGTGGGAAGTTTCAAATCATTCTGCCTGCACACTAGGAGAAGTTAGTTGTTGCTTCTTTCTCCTTACAGAGCTGCCTGACAATAGGAACTTCCAACAGTGGAAATGCAGAGTAAATTCTCCTGAGAATGCCTGACAGAAAAACAAGGTGTGCCTCAATTTTAAGCTCAAAAAAGCTTAAAAAGACATTTTTTAATGGCAGAGATTTTGCAAAAAAGTTTGCTGTTAGAAGCCAACAGTTCAGTAGCATTTTTAAGATCAGGAAATCCTTCTCTACAATGGATACTTTGTAATGCCAACAGACAGATCCAAAATTACATTGTGACTCATTCATCAGGCATTCAAACGTTTTTATTTTCTTCAAATGTCTGGAGTTTGAATCATCCAAATCTCCATCAAAAGAAGTAAGCAAAAACTTTCTCCTTTCTGATGAGATGTTTTGACAAGAGGCTGTGTCTTTCGCCAGCAAATGCAGCAAACTGTGGGATCTGTATGTCAGCGACAGCAGTCTGCAGTGCTTGCAGTCTCTTGGGCACTAATCAAGCTGCTACCCAACTTGTCTCTACAGATTTTTACCTCTAATAGAGCCTTTCAAAGAACAAAAACACTTTGGCTGTGGTACGGTATATGTACATCATAATGACTTTGTACAAACTGTATACTGTTGAAATTAATCTGTTTAGACAAGTTCCTCATCTGATTCACAGCTTAAGTAACATACCCTGAAAAGGTTTCAGCAGGATTTTCTTAATTTTCTGTGTTGCTTCTATTCAGGCATTGCCGATGTTAATTTTTTTGGTCAAACACAGGAGCAGCAAGGATCTTTGATGCTGACATTCACAAAACCCCATAAATTGCTTTCCTAAGTGATTTAATCCCCAATTCCATTGTAGAAAGTGTAAGAAATGTGTTCATGGAGGCACATAAAGATTCACTTCACAGGTAAGTAAAGTCAGTGCTCACTTGTGAAATCTCACTAGTAAACCTTGAGGATTTTTTTTTTAATTCTTGAGAATACCTGTGAAGTTATTTTTGTATCTCATTTCGTTTACCCACTGCACCGTTCATTACTGAGCAGTTTTTGCCTGTAAGTGGTGAAAAACAGAACCACGAATGGATGAAGTTTATTTTGTCTTCTCTCTTGACTTTTTACCTGAGAGGGACTGGGTTTTGATCATAAACTTAACGAGTTACTACATACAGTGAGTCTAAAATCAGGGTAAGTTCTATATCCCAGCCTGCGGGCTGTGCAGGCATGTACCATATTCATATACACCCCTGTACACCATGTACCCCAGGTATAATAGCATCATTACAGATCATCCACTCTGCCAAACTGACAAAAGCTTAATAATCAAGAACTATGAAACATCTAGGCTCTTGTCTGCATGCCAAAGGAAGCAAATTAACTGCTTAGGTGGTTACAGTTTATTCATGTGGCTCTCCTTGAAACCAAATATAACACCTCACATTTGAGACTCTGATCCTACAGGTTCCTGCAAGCCCCTGAAGGACTGCCTGATTTCACTGCAAAGAGCAGTTCCATTCAGTGACTGACACAGAGCTGATAATGAGAGTTAAGCAAACAAGTGTGTGTTTGATTAAGCCTTTAAAGTTGATCTTTAGAGTTGATCTTTGAGTTGAAACTGAGGTATTCAACAAATTTCTTAGATCTGATGATAACTTGGACTTTATTTCAGTGATTATTCATTTTTTAGTTTCTTCATTGCAACAGTGGCTCCATAGTGATTTGATACAAGCCTAACAAAGAAAAATGATCTAGAATTAGTTATTTTTAAAGTAGGTTTGATTAGAAGCAAGTCAATTAAAGTTTTAGTTCACACACAAAGAGAAAAACTGTAGTAGGGAAATTGCAGTGCAGCCAGACAAACACCCAATTGCTCACACAGCCTGAGAACTCATATTTTCAAACACACCAATGGCACAAGAAGGAATACCTGAGATTCCAGCCTTGGC